GCTGGATCCAGTGGATCAATTTTCAGTATTTGATATAGATTAAATTGTGGCTAGCCTGAAAGGTTAAAATAATAATTTATTTAATTTCGGTACTTTCCTGTACGTCAATCAGCTTCTACACAGTCTTAGAAATCGGTATTTTTCTTTTTTATGTATATAATAGTTTTTTTCTAAAGGATAATCTAGAATTAAAAGCAAACCATAATTCCAGCAACTGTACTACATAACAGGAAAAAAAAAGAAGAAAAAACATAAGACAGTTTTAGCAACAAAGGCAACAAATGATTGGAGCTGGTGTCATGGTTTACATTGCTTTCACAATTATTCCAGGTTTGCATATTTCGAAATATATTAGCCCAATTTGATTTCAAAGCTCAGTTATTTGAATTATAAATCATTATGTCCCTCCTAGCTGATCAGTTGTGAAATATCTTTGAATTCATTTACATAATGGAATATGTTAGTCATTCCTTTATGTCTTTGAAGCCATAGTGCTCCCTCATGTATGTTTAGTTCTTTCTAATAATTAACTTTCCCACTCTATATTTTTGTAGCAGAATAACTACAGTTTCATTGCTGTTTTGTACAATAACTTGGGGTAAAATATTTATAGTCTCTCAAATATTCTTTATCCATGTCTTTGTTATCCTTACAATGTTATGAAAGGCTCCCTTGGAACTGGGGGGAAAAAACCCAACTATGTAGCTTTGCAATGTAAAACCAGGTAATGCTATGTCAAATGTTACAGATTGACAAAGGAGCATCATCTTAAAACTAGATTAGGATATTTTCCAATAGCAGCTATAAAACCTATTCTTACACTTTTAACTGTTTAAAAATAATTTAATCCATTTAAAATGAAAAGGGAAATTGTTTATTCCCATAAAAGTAATTGAACTCTTCAATCAATTATGTGCAGGAATGGCAGTGAAGCAAGCACTCAAAAAAAAAAATAGTAACAATAATAAGTGTTATGGGTATTTGTTTGTAAAATCTTCTGTGTTTGTACATGACTGTAGGCAGTACTGTACAGTCTAAATTATGCAGTCATACTGATTATTTCTTAAAGAACTTAATCAATGCCAGGGATCAACAGTGTTCAGTAAACGAATAAGTCCTGTTTTTATAATATTCACTGTAGAATGTACAAGCCTATAAGTAATTTCATTCATTTGATGCCTTCAATGCTTGTGAG